TAGTACAGTGACTGGGTGGCAAGAACCAGTCTTTGACACTCAAAGATAAAATAACAACACTGTACGCTGCTGATGTTTAATATATATATGTATGTCTTGCTGTTATTAAAACAACTTATTGGCAATGTTATCACAGCAGACTGTGTTGATCAAGCGATTTATTATCACACTTTTGCATTCTACATGTTGTTGAGCAATAACTTGTATGCTCCCTGAAATCCCCCTTTATAAAAAATGGCAACTAGCATCATGAGACATTTTTAATTATTTGCCAAATTTAGAGTAAAAAACAGTGAATTAAACAGAAAAACATTTAGGCTTTTGTCTGAAATGACTGAACAAATTTTAGAAATAAAATAAAATGTACAAATGCGATGACCATTGAGCATCTGAATTACTGTACCTTATATCTCAAATCTTCAACATGCAATTTATCTCGTCTTGAATCTGGTGATCTGTAATACATAAACTGAATAAGCAACTCCCATAGTACATTTATTTAAAAGCAACTAACAGAAACTCTCATAGTATACTTCAAGCAACTCCCATAGTACATTTATTTAAAAGCAACTAACAGAAACTCTCATAGTATACTTCATTACATTAATAGCAACATCCACAGTATATTAATTAATAGTTACTCTTGTATTAAATTACCATACTTCCAACTCTTTATTTCAGACAAAGCACTGCACACCAAACCCTTTCGCATCCTGATGAGAAAACATCCCATCGCCAATGCCAGTGAATGATATTTTACTCAAACAATGGAAAGACTCTGGTTTCAAGGTGTTTTATCTATTTACTGACAAAACAATCTCAACTTCAATCAAAGAAAGCTTAGAAAGCTTAGAAAGAACTCCAGTGTGCTAAAGGTATTGCAGGCATGAAGTTAGCACATATGCTTCTATTAGAGCAAATATAGCATTTCACACTATAACTGCAAGCAATTATCTGGAGGGTTCCAAGTAGTTATGGTTTAATAATTTTAAATATTTAATGAAATAATGACCATACATTTGTATATGACTTGATATTTTGGTCATATTTTAACAGACAAAATTATAGCACTAGTTGCATGTCCCTATTAGCAATAGTACTTATATCACATTGATTTCAACTCAAAACCAATCAGGTTTGCGCATTATTCCAGAGCATCTATGTATATGTCATGATTCATTGAAATCTGTTGAATGGTACTTGGGAAATAAATGAAAATGTCTAAAATGTGCTAATTACCGGTAATAAGCAAATTAGGTTATTAATATGCATTGCTTTTTTAACCCAAAACTAATCAGGTCTGTGTCTATGCACCAAGTTGAAATGTAAAGATTAGTACTTGAAAAATCAGCAGAAAAGCTGAAAGTTTACTAATTATACAAATTAGGTAATTAATATGCACAAATATTAACCCAATACTTCTCAGTTCTGTGCATTGTCTGTCCTATGACATCTATGTACCAAGTTTCATTGAAATGTAATAATTAGTACTTGAAATATCAAAAGCTGAAAATTGATTAATTATGCAAATTATGTAATTAATATGCAGATATTAACTCAAAAAAATATCAGATCTGTGCATTGTTTTATGACATCTATGTACTAAGTTTCATTGTAATGTAATGATAAATAAAAAATTGACAAATGAAATTAGGGAAATAATATGCATGGGATTTCTTCCAAAAACCAATCAGGTCTACGCATTATCCCAGAGCATCTATGTACAAAGTTTCATCAAAATCCAATGAGTGGTTCTTTAGATATCAGTAGAACAGCTAAAAATCAGCTATTAGGTAATTAATAAGCACAGACTTTAACTAAAACCAAATCAAATCTGCGCAATAGCCCAGAGCATCTGTGCATCAAGTTTCATCAAAAACCAACATGTGGTTCTTGAGATACATGTATGAGTGGAATGGACAGAAACATACAGACAGGCTACAGCAAAGACTGCCTTGCACATGGGAGTAAAAAATGTAACATCAAGAATTACAAAAACAGAAAATGCCTACACGAGTCTGTGGCATTGAAATCACCTGCCAGTTGAGGTATGTATGGCATGTAATTTATTAATTATTCAAGTGGATCGAGGATTGGGTGTTTTTTGAAGGCTAAGGGTCAAAATACCGTAGTTTTCCGGTTAATCGCCCATGCCCGGGTAAGTTCCCATGCCCCGGCAACCACTCAATGCCCACTTTTTCTACACTTGTAATAAGAAAAAATAAAAAAATCTATTTTTTGTTCATTGTACAGTTGACTTCCTTGTAGTCTGTTGTGATTCTGATAACAATTATTGAAAAACAAGACATGACATGTCATGTCATAGCCCTCGCTCAGAAAACAATTTAAAACTGATATTGAACTGGGTTTGTGTCAGAGTGAATTTATTCATTGTGAGCTGTACTGTCCGTTATTAATTGTTCAGAATTGATGTGGAACAATTTTAGTGGGGGGATGGGGTAAACATATATAAATTGTCTCAGAAAAGCCAAATAAATAACTTGATAAATATATAATGCGATGTGCACATGTAAACAATTATTACACGTCTCTGTACCAACTTTGAACAAAACTGGATGACACATATCTAAGAAAAAGCTGGTTACGACTAGAAAAAGCTTGTTTTGTTTTTTTAGATTTTTGAGGGAAAAAATGGCCTCCAAAGAAGTAACAATTTATTCAATCAAAGAAGTCATGAATGACACTGCCTTCGCTTGTTGTCATTTGAAAGTTGCAACATAAAATTTAATCAGTTTTTGACATAGACTTAAATTGGCAAGTTTATAGCCACTCTTCATCCTGGTCTCAGCCAAGAAAACCAGATAGCAACAAACAAGTACAACAGCTAAAATGACAAGTAAGTATGCAAATCAGATCTGCAAATATGTAGAAGAGTCAGTGTTGTGTCTGTTTGGATAAAGACACTGCCAATCACCGAAGTGTTCCAGTAAAAAACCTGATGATCCTTGGTATACAGTACCTGTGACAACAACTTTACTTCCCGGTTCGTCACGTAAAGATCTATATGTAGGTTGTGGCCCTGAATCAGTTTCAATATCTCTAAATAAGGACAAGAGTACTTCTCATATGACAATGATACAAATAAAGTGCAAGAATCCAGAAAAATATTATTAAGTTTTTATTATCATACATTAATGTTAACAAATCATGTGAAATTAAACTTTAATGTACAGAGAAACACATATTTATGCTTTGGTTGATAGCACTTCTCAAAAAAAAAAAAAAAAAAAAGAGGACCTGTGAAAATAGTATCCAATTGTCAGACATGCAGCGAATAGTATGCTTTTCTAATATATGCAGTTTCAGTGGCTCTGCTTTGTGAGAAAAAAATCAGTTTACACTGTGCTATTTTAAACATGTTCTGCTAAGTATAGAATGAACTAATTCCCCAGTCTGTTTCCACTCCACAAAGTTGTCAAATTAATATCAAAAAAAATATATCAAGAATATGCATAATGCCAAAGTACTTGTGTTTTCAATGTCATTAAAATCTGACCAGGGATATGCAGAAAATTTCACTTGAGTTGAACCAAATGGATGCCAAGATATCTAAAGAAATAAAAAAATACTATTGAGAAAAATACAAAAAAATACATCTAATATAAATACAGATAGAATTGCATACAAGCAGCCTATCGGCTGAGATAGCTCCGCTGTTAGCAATGCACATTTCAATTAAAGAACTGAAGACATCATTAGAAAATGAACAATATGAATAGTATCAAAGCAATCGGACTTACAGTTTTCAACAAGAAGTCGAAAACATCACTTTTTACCAAAAATGACAAAAGTATTTACCAAAATTAGAGAATTTAAGATATCATCACAAAATGAACAAATCTGAGAGAGGTCCACATGTAGTACCTATATATGTAGTATCAAAGCAATTGGACTTGCGGTTTTTAACAAGTCGAAAATATCACTTTTTACCAAAAATGACAACAAGCAGCCTGTCGGCTGAGATAGCTCCGCTGTTAGCAATGCACATTTCAATTAAAGAAGTGAAGACATCATTAGAAAATGAACAATATGAATAGTATCAAAGCAATCGGACTTACAGTTTTCAACAAGAAGTCGAAAACATCACTTTTTACCAAAAATATTCACCAAAATTAGAGAATTGAAGATATCATCACAAAATGAACAAATCTGAGAGAGGTCCACATGTAGTACCTATATATGTAATATCAAAGCAATCGGACTTGCAGTTTTTAACAAGAAGTCGAAAATATCACTTTCTACCAAAAATGACAAAAATATTCACCAAAATTAGAGAATTGAAGATATCACAAAATGAACAAATCTGAGAGAGGTCCACATGTAGTACCTATATATGTAATAGCAAAGCAATCGAACTAACGGTTTTTAACAAGAAGTCAAAAATATCACTTTTTACCAAAAA